GGGATAACAAGGAATAATGGCCACAAGTTGTTGGAGATTAGGTTTAGATTAGACATCCGTAGGAACTACTTCACAGTTAGGGCAGCTAGGATCTGGAACCAACTTCCAAGGGAAGTGGTGCTGGCTCCTACCCTGGGGGTCTTTAAGAAGCGGCTCAATGCCTACCTGGCTGGGGTCACTTGAGCCCAGTTTCCCTCCTGCCCAGGCAGGGGGTCGGATTTGAAGATCTACAAGGTCCCTTCCGACCCTACTTATATGATTCTATGAAATCATTAAAAAGGAGAGATGGCCATTGACACCTTTGGAGTGAAGAACACTGAGTCGCTTAATCAAATTCCTCAGCTGCCTCAATAGTAATGCAACAGCTGCTGCACTGTGGAGCAGAAATCAAAGCAGGGTGCTTCTATCCTGGCCAGAAAACCAGCTTCCCCCTAATACATTCACCCCACTTCTGTGGAGTTGATTTTTGGGGAAAAGGTGTATATTATATGTGAGAGAATATGGCAGCATAATCTAAAAAACCTGAAAAGGAAAACCCTGCATGGTGTCAGAGAAATTATTCGCTTAAGGTCCCAACCTGGAAAGGGAACACCTGTGAATACTCCTGACCTCAATGGAGCTCGTTTCCCAGCTGAGACTCAAATAAGCAGGAGACGAGGGTGCGGTCTTTTCAGTTTATTCAGCCGAAGGTCCCCCAACCTTAGAAAGGCAGAGGGGCCCCGGTTGCACTCTCTCACACGTATTTATATTCTCTGGTTACATGATATTTTGCATGCACAAAGCTTTAGCGGAAAATTACTAGTATTGCATGACTCTTCTTCACCCTGCAGGGTAAGACCAAATAAGGCACAGGTCTGCCGTTAAGCTTGTCTATCATGCTTAGTTACTATGGGGGAAGTTGTGGGCCCCTGAAGGTACAGGCTGTGCTTCCCGTATTGCCAAAGGAAACCCCTTTCTCTGCGCACAATTTCTAACAATGGCTAAGCAGAATCCTTTTCCTAAAGAGGGAGACTTTATCACTGCTCTTTCTGTGTCCCCATGCACAGGAATGTGTTTCCCTGGGGACCCCCTGCAGAGAACACCTGCACGTGTTTTTGTGCGGTATGCAGCGTGTGCGGTATGCGGTGCTGCAGACCCTAAAACAAGTCCCTGTTTGATTCAAGGAACCTTCTGGAAAATGGCAGCTTGTAGCTCTCACTCGGTTTTTTGACTCCAGAAGGATGGTGGAGCAGCTCTTCTGTTGCAAGGGTCTCAGAAAGCCCAGAGCAAGGCAGTGTTTCTCACAGAGGTTTCACCTCTAGGAGGGAAGAAGACAAAAGGATTTGAAACTCCTTCTTAGAACTTGGGGAGTTTTGCCATTAATTTAGATACGATCATAATTTAATGTTGTGCCTTTTCTTCTTCCCTTGCTCAGGGCCAGACCCACCCCGCTGTTTGGGGTCAGGAAGGCGTTTCCTCCTATCTGGGGTCAGTCGGGCTGTACAGACTGGGGGGCTGCCTTCCTATGTAGGCCGGGCCCGGCCCTCCCCCCGAGCCCGGGTAATTCACAACCTGTTACAGGCTCCAGAGGTCCGAGGGCGCTGCCTGTGCCCCCTGGAGCGGCGGCAGGCGAGGGACGGCGATGTCCCGCGTGGTGTCAGGGCTGAGGGCGTTACTAACAGCCGCGCAGGGGATGCTTTGCCCGGGACTGCCAGCGCCCCACGCAAGGACTCGCCCTAGAAGTGCCTGCTAGAGGCCATTTCCAGCCCCCACGGGGGCGCCCCCTCCCCCTCAGGCGGGCCGGGCCGGGCCGGACGGAGGCGGCCGCAGCAGGCGCTGGGGGCCCACCTCGCCCACGTGACACAGCCCCTTCCGTTGTTATGGAAACGCGGCCTGTTGGCGGCCTCGGGCCCGGCTGCCCGCCCGGCTCTCGCCCTCCGCCGCGGCGCTCCGCTGCGCGCCCTCGCTGCTGGACCATGCGCAGGCCAAGGCCCAGGCGCACCTGCTCTCCGCGGTGGCCTGCGAGCGCGCCATGCGCTGGCCGGAGGTAGCGCCTCCCGCCGCTGCTAGGGGCTTGGATGGGCCTGCGAGTTAAGCAGGGGGTATCTGGGTTGGGGCTTGGATGGGAGACCTCTGTACATTGTGATGGGAAACTGCTACGCTGAGGACTGGCTTGAGTTGTCCTGCTCTGACTCGTGGGATCCTGGATGTTTTAACTGGGGGTACAAACCTGTTGCTTATCCCAAATAAATGATTTTTGGCTCAGTTACAGTAAATCCCACCACCCCTTTCCCCGCTCATGGTGGCTTGTCCAGCTCATGCCCTTGCATGTCCTGGGGAGGACTTGTGCTGTCTTCTCATTCTGCAGCATCTCAGCCTGGGAGTGAAGTGGTTTTGCTGTGTATGAGCCTGGAGGAGGGGAGGGGGGCTACGAGATTGCCTTCAGATCCTTTGGCCACTTATAGTTTGGTTGCAGGTTGCTGAACACTATACCGTGCTCCTGAGAACTCTGAGCAGAGAGGAACTTCCCAAAGACTTTGAGCCGGGCTTTCGCTATTTACAACTGGTAATTTTAAAGCAGTTTCACAGCAGAAAAACAGGGTTGCAACTCTAGCAGGTTTATGGCAAGTCTCATGATACTTGATATTTCTTATAATGCCTCAGCTCCTGGTGTCATGTGGTTATGACTCGGCTTTCATTAAATAAAAAAAAAAAGGGAATTTCTGACCCTTTTGGGGATACAGACAAAGCTTGCAAATGTCAATATTAAGGGCTCCAAAAACACCAGAAAGCACATAAAAAGAACCCTAGTTTTCCTTCTGATGTTGCCTAATGTTTAGGTCAGTCACCTGATTTTTGGGGACCTTACTCATTGTTTTTAAACACTTGGGACTGAATGTAGTGAACAAGTTTTGCTGCATAAAATTACACAATGTCATCTGTGTGGACGGACCCGGTGCTTCTATGGAGCTCTTCGTGTTTGGAATGGTCCAGTAGGAACTGGTTGCAAAACTGGAGCCTTATCTTGATGGTCAACATCCAAACATATTAGTTGAAGAACATATAACTCGACTGTACTTTTGATTCACTTTGCCTGTGTGGATGCCAGGGGTGTAGAGAAAGCACATTATATAGGCCAGGTGGAAATGAGGTGCATAGTTTTAGCTTACTGGTAAATAGATTGCTTTGCGGGGGAGATGGAAGGGGCAGTGGGGCAGGCAGTGTTGAACTGCACCTTTTTAAAATATGTGGAAAGACATGTCACAACACTCCCTCAAATTATCCCTGCACAGGTTTAGATCCCTCTGCGCAAATTTCTCTGCTTCAAAGCACAGAATTAAATTATGATCCTACTTAATTTAATGGTAAAACTCCAGGTTAGAACTGGCTAAAAAGGGGTTTCATATTGGAGTATACAAGGTACCTGGCTTTAAGCTAGACACAATAGTAGACCAACCTGGGACTACAGGCTACCATGTGGACTGCCCCAGACCATGAGCCAGAGCTTCTGAGGCAGTGAATCCAGAATCCATGCCTTAGATTTGGCAAAAATGTATTAAACTTGAGATGTTTCAAATAAAATGTGTCAGGCTTAATAAACAGGCATTTTCTGATTAAATGCTCCCGTTACATGTCTGACCAGCTTTACTCCCAGTTATTTCAGTGGGACCAGATGTTATCTATAACATCAGTCTCAGTATGCAGCCTTGGTATCCTTCTACATTGCAGTTCTCTTGGCAGTTCTATATTTCATGTCTTTATAAACCCGAAACAAATTAATGTTAATTGTATAATTCAGCTAAGGGTTAGGATATAGGCTGTGCTGTTGCTCCTTCTGTGTTCTGAGATATCTGCGTGTGACAGAATTTTCGGACAGAGGAATTTCAGTGCATATTCTCATCTCTGCAGGCTGCATTGTTTTATTAAGATGGGACCTACTTAGTATTGCATTAAAATTAATTTAAATGATCTATGAAACATCTCTGCTGTACCTTATTAGAGAGACTACAGACTTTATAATGTGAAATAATAATATACTCTTCCTCTGGGCGGTATATTTTAATGTTCCTGTTAGTCACTGAAGAGCCATATCTTCAGCTAGTGTAAAGTAGCATTTAATTCAGTGGATTCTACCACTCTATATCAGCTGAGAATCTGGCCCAAAGTAAATTATCTAGGGAGTACCTGATAAAATATACTTGTTTTAGTATGCAAATGGTGTATAGCAGATACAGTATTTTTGTATGCACATATTTAAAGCAATGATTGAACAAGAAAATGATGAATAGTGGTTTTCATTAGTTTGAAAAGAATTAAAAACAGGTTCTACACAATATTAAAACTTTAAAAATGATTTGTGATTCTGATTGTGTTTCAGCTCTTTGAAACCTATTATCATTTAGCTGTAGCTTTCCAAAAACAGAATCAGCATAAGGAAGCTGTGGAAGCATTTACCAAGGCAATAGAAATTGGATTCATCCCTAAGGTAAATCTGTAGTAGTATTTATAGAATGTTCATTGCATCCTGAACAACCTTTTTATTAGAGAAGAAGAATATCTTAAGTTTATTGGACTATTACATTTTAAATCAATGAGAAAATACAAGGAATGTGCTCGAAGATATATATTCCTGGTTCAACCTTGTGATTTTTGTTATGCCATATTTATTTTTAAATGATTGACAGCCGTGCCTTAGAATTACACTTACTGTACATCAAGTAAAATCATCCAGTATAAAAAACCAGTACTGCATTTAGGGACTGGGATCAGACAGAGCTACAAATAATTAATCTTCTGAATATATTAGGTTATCCTATACCTGCACCTTGCGTTAAGCATATTAGAAATTGACCTGTGAGATGTTTGAATAAAATTAGAGATTTGTTTAGGTAATAGGGGGGGAAGATGAAACTGTCCATTTCCTCCACACATAAACCCAAACCTTTTTATCCTAAGTGGTCAGTATACTTGAAATGATAGGATGTTTCTAGACCTCTATACTTGTATGTAATTTTTAAAATGACCAGTAAGTGAAGTCATATCTATGTCTAATGCCAATTAAGAAGTTTGTCTTAGGAGGGACTGAGTGCTCTTGTGAGATGCATTGTACCTTTAACTTTTAAAAGTTTGATATGTGCTACAGGAGTCTCTAGGATTCCCAGTGACCCACAATCCTCCACTCTATCTTCTCCCCACCTCCGAAGGGGAGAGAGGGAGGCTTCCTGATAGCCCATCCAGTAGCGAGATGTGAGGGAGCCATGCTTGGATCCTGCTGCTACTACCTCCACAGCTTTAAGAACTACTGCCAGGTTCTTAAAGTGGCAGTGTCAGTTCCCTCGGGAGCTTTGTCATGGCTGTAGTGGCTACGCATCTGTCCATCTCTATAAGCTGCTGGCAAAGAGCTGCCTTTGCCTCTGCTTCTTTTCAGCAGCTGCCAGCTGATCATTGACATCCTGCCCCCTTTCTTGGCAGGGGAGCAGGCAGGCTGTTGTGATCAGGCTGCCCTGAGGGCGGTGGGAATCCAGGGAGCAGTGTCCTATTGCCCTTTAGCTAGTGAACTCACCTTTGAGGTGACTAAAGCTTTCTAGCCAGGGGGCATGAATATATATGACCCCATAGTGCTATATTTTTGTAGTGTTACAAAGTGTTGAGTTGCTTTGTAGCACTGCAAATGAATGCCTGTCTAAACCCTAATATGCTTCTAAATTAATTAGACTCTTGGGGTTCAGTGAGGTGCTGAATATCCTCAAGTTAATGCTGCTGGAACTTGCAGCCGCTCAACATCTTGGAGGAAGCTCTCCAAACTTACCAGGATCAGAGCTGTGTTTTTGACCTCATGTTTTATGCCATTTTCAGAGCCTTGTTATAATTGCCCGGGAACTCATAATTTATTAGAGTTAACCTTAAATATTGTATGAATTTGTAAGAATTTATACGTTTTAAGTTTTAAAAATATTTGGTAAAACTTTTTTCCATAAAATAGTTGATTAATATCTGTTCCCGGTTAGTGTCTGGCTGAAAAGGCAATAATTTATATGAATGGCTGGGATTTCATGCATACCCCAAAATCTTTCCAATGTAGAAATTTTTGACTGACAGGATAAATGGAATCTAAGATCATTGGAAACAGTCTTACTACGTTAGTCATACATTTTTGCTTCTGGCATTTACAGCAATTCAATTATATTTTAAAGAATAATAAGTGATTTTTGTAACTGAAAAGCAGTGTGGATAGTAAGCGTTAAAAACAGTAATAAAACAGTGAGCAAACTGAAAGTTAGATCATTCAGGTCCTTCATGCTGTGGGCTCTAAACTCACTTGCTCTTTGTTCAAATGATATTGTATCGAAACAAATACTGGCTTTTTTTTGTTTCTAGAATTTATTTTTCTGATACATTTGTACTTTTTGATTAAATGCAGTTAATATAACTGCACATTGGCTGTGTGGTTCTTGTGCAGTCTCATTAAATTTCTTTTTCATTTTTTTTCCTCCAGGGGTGTAAATTGATTTATATGAGCATGCTGCTAATGTTATAGCTCCTTGTCTAGACCCTTGGGTCCTAATGTTTTTTAAACTCAGTACAATTATGGGAAACATTATACTGGAATGATGACATAAATCATCCCCGTAGGAGTCTGAGCAGTCTGGGGAGTTATCAGTTATAGAGCCCTGCTGAGGTAAATAAGAACAGCAATTTGAAATAAATAAAAGACCAATGCTGCTAATGTGTATGGCTCAAGAATATCATTAAATTCATAATGACAGTGTTTATTTGGTATAACAATGTTAGATGTACTGTGATGCTGCTCTTTAAACAATGATATTACTATTCATGGTACTGTCCCCTTTTCTCCAGGGTGTCTGTCAGGTTGGCTGTACCTCCAAATCTTTCCTTCAAACGCCAGTGTTTGCTAGAAGAGCGTATGCACATGTAAAATGTGGTAAGATGTTTTGGAACTCTAGGTGGTCTTAGTTAGTGGCTGGCAGCCTTTTTTGTGGTGGTGGGCAAGAATGATCTGGTTTGGGTCCAAGGTGGGGTGGCACTAGGACCTTTCCGCTCTCCGTACTACCGCTTCTCTCTGCCACCCAGCTGCAGCATGGGAGAAGCTCCCCACCACACAGCTGTGGCGTGGCATGGCGTAGGCCAAGTCCCTGGTTACCAACACCCCTGAAACCCCCCCTGCTGCTGGGACACTGCTGAAGCCCCTTGGATCCATGGGCCAGCTCCAGTTGCTCTGTTGCCTGGATCTGGCCCATAGACCGTAGGTTGCCGACTCCTGATTTTTGTGAATAAACACTGGAATTTCAAACCCAGAAAAGAGGGATAAAGGTTGTAGCCATGTTGATCTAAAAGCAAATGCAGTCAGTGTGGTAATGACAATATGTTTTATTAGACCAACTAGATAGTTGCAAAAAAAAAGTTCTTTATTTGCAAGCTGTCAGGCTCATGCACCCTTCTTCAGGCAAAGGATAATGCAAAGATTGTAAAATTTCTCCCAAGTAGAAATTAAACTTCATATTGCACAGGAGAGCTGGAGGATGGTATAAGTTCTCCTGGGTGGAAAAGTTAATTTTGTGCCAGTTAGGCTTGGATAAAAGTTGGAGCAGTCTGTTTACCTCAAAGGTGTCTGATGGCAAGCAGGATATTGAATTTTGCTTCTTTAAAAACTATTATGAGGTTGTGTTTGCTCTGTTTTGTTATTTTGTTAGCATTACCAGCATTGGGAAATCGTGGGTAGATGTGGTGATAAAACATACTCAGGTTTAGCTTAGTAGCTAAATGAGTAGGAGAGATTTATACATTGTGTGAGGGAATTTGGGGTCCAGCAGGAGTGCTAATACCAGTTTTCTGTCCCTGAGTACTACATGACAAAGACAGAAGGGGTGGGGGTGTCCAGTTGGCTGTTTGCCTCTTCACTGCCTTGCCTAGCACAGTCAGTGGCTCTCCCACCAATACATAGTTCTTGTTGGCAGTTCAGCTCTTCCTCCTGCTGCATTGCCCCAGGTGCATGCACAGTTAGGCTGGTACTTGACTGGTCTACTTGAGCAGAGCATAGGCATTATTTTGAAAACTTATCGCCTAGTTCAGTGGCCTCCCTCCTTTCTAAGTAGGAGATCACATTTGGCATTTAAAAGCAGCCCAACATGTACTGTGCGCTGCTGCCATCCCCTTTTCTTCCCTGCCCCCTGCCCAACAGGTAAGTCTGTGGGGAGGGAAAGTGGGGCAGATTGAGGCAGAAGGAGAAAAAATTATTTGGGGCCACGCCTCCCCAGCAGTTAAGTCCCACCTGGCCAGGGCCCCACTCAACTTACCTCTGCTCCTGCCTCTGCAGCACTGTCCCTTACCATGGAGGCCTTGATCTAGCCCCCACCCCTTCCCTCCCTCATGGATTGACCTGCTGGGCTGGGGCTCGCACATGCATGCACACGGGCACTTGGCCCCCCACCCCAGCCTCAGATCGACTCTAAGAGGCTCTGAGATCTACCGGTGGATCGAGATCCACTGGTTGGTGACCACTGCTCTAATGTATATTTAGTTCACAGTGAAATATGCTCAAACAAGCTAGTAATGTAGGATTTGGGGCCCACCTAGTCTATATGAAGGCAAATAGTATACCAATACAGTAACACACATTCAGATACCTACAGATAGTCTCCTTAAGTAAATACCCTATTCTCTCTTGATATGAATCCACTGTTCACAAGTCCTTTCAGAAGCAGTTGAATAGCCTTTTAAAGAAAATATGGACATTTGGTAGTCTGGTGTGGTCTGAATGAAGTGAAAGGGCAGTGAAGACTTGTTGATTGGTCACTAAACTGGAGACCTAAGTTCTGTGCCCAGCTTTGCTTTTATTTGCTCTGTGGCTGGAGCAGTTTTCTTGGCCTTGGTTTCATTCTCTACCATGACTTCTCCACTTGTGTTTCTAAAACACTGGCAGAGTCTGCATGTTCTCCTTTACAGGATGTTCCATTAGAAGATAATAGCTTTAGATAATGGAGTCACAGCTTTCGTTTGTTACACTTTCACAGTTCTGAAAATGAGCATATTTGACTGTGCCCTTTACCTTAACCTGTTGATCACCATGCGAACTTTGCATACCCACTTATCTACTTTGAAAGTCTTATACCTAAACAGCTTCTGCTTGTACTCATGTGTACTTGTATATAAGTATTTCTGCCCACCCAGACGTCTTATCCTTATATATCTCAGTTTGTTCTTTCTTAATCCACAGTACTTTTGAGAGTCTTACTGAGTAATATTTGAGTAATTTGGAGAGCTTTTAATTGCATTCAGTAGTTTTGGCCCATTAGATCTTTGCTCTAATAACTAGATCCATGGTATTCGTTTGAACCAAAGAACCATTTGATAATGTTAATCATGACTTTGCAAGTTAATGTAGTTAAATTTTTCAAAACTAGATAGGATGCATCTGTGCTCAGTAGTAAGGAAAATGTCATTTACCCAACTGTTAAAATCCTGAGGCTAAGCTTTACAAAAAAATTCCTGCTAGTCATTTTGATTTTCATTACTGAATGATCACCACTTCCCATACTGCAGGACCCCCAGCCACAAGCCTCCCAGGCCATCTGCTGTGCTGTGTAGGCTCCTTCCCATCTGTGCCATGCTGCATGGGTGACTCCTGCTGCACTGTATAGGTGCCCTTGTATCCCCCAGCTGTGCGCTTCCTGTTGGGGAGGCAGGCAGCAGAAGCTGGAGGAGGCAAAGAGAGCCCAGAGATTTTGAGTGCCACTTTCCTCATTGCTTTCCTGTTGCTGTTACCAACTGTGAACCATGGGGCTGCTCGTTAACCCCTCGGGGGCCAGATGTGGCCTGTGGGTCTCCAGTTGGACAGCCCTGCCACACATAATAGGGCTTAAGTGCACTTCTGTAGATGTGCACAAATTGTCAGCATGGCTTTGTGGCATTGTCCACAAAGGAGTCAGCATGGCACTGCTATAGTGCTAGAGCTGGTGCAGAGAATCTGAGATGTTTCTTGAATCTGACGAGTGCTTAGTCAAGCAAAGACAGGCAGAGCAGGTGTTTGTTGGGCTTTGTGGAAGGACAGATATCTCACATCATTCTCCACTGTGGTCATATGAAAGGGTGGCTTTGGATAGGCCATGGAGGATCCACCACATCAGCCAAGTCGGTTACATTGTGTTTTTGGAAGGACATGAAAGAAGCATTGTAAAGAATCTTGTCAGAAGAATGACTAACCAAAGAGTCATTATTAGAAAATAATGTTTATTGCTTGAATTTCAATATGAAATATGTCTGACATTGAAAAAATGGTTACTTTTTCCACTCTGCTTTTTTCTGCTTTGTTTCTAGACAATATGAAAGAAGCAATAGTTGATGCTAACAGAGCTGTTGAGTTGGATCCTTCCAATCCTGTAAGTAATTGTGAAATGAACTGCATTTTTTGGACCTGAAATGTTCATTTTACTTGGTTTTAGTTTTTTGGAATTTTACTCTCTGTCAAGTGTGTATCTAATTTCTTTTTTTTAGTTGTATGGCAGAGCTGCATCTGCTACCTTTTAAATAATGGCACTAGAATAGCAGTAAACATATACCTATTTCTGTGAAATACTAAAATATTGTTAAAACAAAATTAGTGGTAATTTGGAAGAGGAATATTTGTAGATATACATTTTAAAACTGAACTGGAACAACATCAAGTTTACTTGTTAATTTTAAACTGCTATCTAATAGTGTAATGTTATATTTCCTAGTTCTAGTATTGTGAAAGACAATAAATAATAAATCTCTATTTGCATTCTGTGCATCATTGAGTATTTTGTAAACCTCTGTCTGTCCCCTCACAATCACCTTTTTTTTGTTTTTTTTGTTTTTTTTGTTTAAGTCCTAGCCTGTTTAGTCTCTTCTCGTGTGGAAGCCCCTCCACACCCCGATCATCTTTGTTGCCCTTCTCTGTGCCTGTTCTTCTAGTTTTTTTGAGGTGGGGGTACAGTATTCCAGGTGTGAGCAAGCCAAAGATATATAAAGGGGTATAAATAAAACAAAGTATCATTACAGTTCCCTTTTCCATAACTCCTAACATTTTATTTCCCTTTTTGACTGCTGCTGAACAATGAGCTGGTGTTTTTTGTGAACTGTCCACAGTGACTCCAAAATCTCTACCCTGTGTGGTAACAGTTAATATAGAGTCTTTCATTATGTGCATATTTTGAGTAATTTTTTCCCATATGCATTAATTTCTACTTATAAACATTGAATTTCATCTTTCATTTTGTTGCCCATTCACTTTGTTGTTGATTTATCCCTAGTATGTCTCCCTAGATTTATCCCTAGTATGTCTGTGAATCCCTTTGTTGAACACTTTATTTTTTTATTATGGTTTCTAACAGTTTACTATGAACCAAAGTTAGTCTTATTGGCCTGTAGTTCTTTGGAGCCCTTTTTAAAGATTGGAGTTACAATGGCAGTCCTCTGCTACCAAAGCTTTTTTTAGTGATAGGTTGCATACTACACTAAATAGGACTGTAATTTCAGATTTGAGCTCTTTCAGGACTGTAAGATGATTGTCTTCAGGTCCTAGAGATTTGTTGCTCTTCAATGTATTGATTTCCTCTAAAACCACATTTACTGACACTTTGGTATCAGTCAGTTCTACTGCTATGTCTCCTGGGAGTTGTGGGGGAGGGAAAGGATGAATTTGTCCCCTGGTGAGGGAATCTCCCTATCATCTTCATTAGTAAAGACTCCATGATCAGTTTTATTCTTCTAACATATTTAAAGACATTTTCATTATTGTGTTCTATGCCACTAGCAGTTTTCCCCCAAATTCTTTTTCTTTTTTTTTTTGCCTTCCTTATTAGTTTTACATCTGACTTGCCAGAGCTTATTTTCTTTATTATTTTCCTTGTTTGGACTTGACTTCCACTTTTTAAATGAAGTATTTTTTTCTGCAATAGCTTCCTTTACCAATTAACCATCTGGCTTTTTATTTGTCTGCTTGCTTGCTTTTTATTTATTTATCTATTGCTTGATTTGCAATATATACTTATTTTGTCTCTGATATGATGTCCTTGAACAGTTCCCGTGCTGCATGCAAGTGTTTGACCTTTTTGGTGCTGCTTTTAATTTTGTTGTATCCTCATATTTGTGTAAGTCACTTCTTAAAATTAAAAGCTACTGTGGTAGATTTTTTTAGTTCCCCTCCCGCCTCCTATAAGGCTATCAGACTTAAGTGCACTGTGATCATTATTACAATTACAAAGAGGCATAGTGGCTGATACTGATCCGATTTCTGATACAACTGCTTCTAGCTAGTAAGACCGGTGTGGTGGAAGGCGGGGGAGAGTGTGTGCTCCTCAAATCTGCACAGGGCAAGTTGGGCTGCAGGCGGGGCTGCACAGGCCTCTTCTCAGTGGGGGCTGGGCTCAGCAGGCACCGGTAGCATTGGGAGGATGCTGCATCCACCCCAAATTTCACCGTCATTCTGCTCCCAATGCCTCTGCCAGCTGCCCAGCACAGCCCCAGCTCTTCCTGGAGCGTGGGTGGAGGCAAGGCGTTGAGCTGAGGCTGCGCCTGGGTGGCTGGTGGTGGTGGCACTGGGAGCAGAGTGGCGGCAAAATTTGGGGTGGATGCAGCATCCTCCCAGTATTGCTGGCTCCTGCTCCGTGCCCGGCCCTTGCTGAGAAGAGCCCCAACTGTAGCCTGCCCCACCCTGCACAGATCCAGGGGACACATGCCCCCCCCACCCCATGCCATCCCAGGGTACAAGCAGTGGCAGGAGCTGCCTCCCCCTCCCCACCCCACGAGCCGCAGCTCTGCCTACCCTCCCTGCCTGGGCAGCACCTGCCCTGCCCCCTCCCTCACCATGGGCGCTGTCGATCTGCCCCCCATGCCCCTTCCCTCCCTCCTCCCTTACCACCACACCATACTTACCAGCTGGAGGCAGCTCTCCACGCTGCCAGCTGTGCTTCTCGCTGCCTGAGTGCTGTGCTGTGGCTGCACGCAGCACGGGCATTTATCAGCCAAATTATCGCCCCATCTGGCGGATATCCAATACAGCCAGTTTTCTTTATATCGGTACTGATCCGATATCAGACTGACATATTGGTGCACCTCTAGTTATTGTCTTTTGTAGCTTCTCACAGCTCCCTTAACATTTCAAGCTTACCACGAGGGCAGCAATCAAGTGGCTGATGTCCCCAGATGTACATTCTTTCTATTTATACACTGAATTTTTCTACCCACAGTGGTTCTGTGATACCTCTTTAGCAGTTAAGATATATACTCTGTTTTTACTTATCATATTTACTCATATACCACATGCATCTTGTTTTTGGAAGGCAGAAAGTGTAGGAAATTTTTTTTTTCCAGTCATGGCTGATTGCGTGACACAGAATAAGTCCTTCTGGAAAAATAGTGTGTTCAGGAAGCGTGGCATCCCAGGTGATAGTGTGGGTGAGGCAACAGGAACTTCAATATGGATGAGTGGCAGGACAGCAATAAGAGTAGGCCAAGACGCTTGCAAGAGCAGTAGCAAAACTTATTTATTTATTTATTTTTTACTATAACTTGTTCTTTTATGTTAATTCCTATAAATAGTAAAGGGGTTGTTTCCACGCCATAAGTGTCATCAAGGTATTACAGTTCGCACTGAGTATCTTGCTTGCCCTGAGCTAGTTCAATTGCAGCTTCAGGCACAAGCTATAGTGCTGAGCTAATAGTTACTGTACATTTCTTAGTGGCTGTAAGATAGTTAACACTGGATCCTGCTTTTGCTGCTTGCCAGGTGAGAAAGAAGTAGCAGCAGTGATTAGAGATGGCATCTCCCTACTTCTATTCCAGTGAAGAAAAATCACCATCCTCACTTAAGACATACACCCCAATTTGGGAGGGTTGGTTTTGGGGGGGAAGTGAATGTGGTATGCAAGTAAATATGGTAATGCAGTCCTTAATATAGATTGCTTCTTTCCTACTAGTGGAAACTACTCTGTCATTCCTGTATAACTTGTATCCTCATGTTACAGTGTTCCATTGATATCTGCCCCCTCCTCACCACCCTTCATACTCCTATGTTCTGAGACGCCTATTATGTTAATAGATGCCTATTATATCAAGTTGGTATGAGAAGCTTCTTGTGCCTATTCTCCGTTTAGCAAATCCATTGAGAGATCGCCAGAAAATGTCCTGAATTGCCTTTGAGGTAAAACTAACCAAATTCTCTGTTATGCTTTTCATTTTCCAGGATGTGTACTGTGTCAGGGCTCTTGTTTGGAGTGCAGCAAAAGAAACGAATAGAGCCATTACTGACTTAAACAGTAGCCTCAAGTTAAAATCATCTCATACTTGTGCTTTGATTATCAGGGGAGCCATTACAAATTCTCTTATGGCAAAAAAGTGCATGAAATTTATAGAGAATAATAAAGACCACAAAAAGGTAAATAATACTCTTTCACAGTGTCTGGTTTAATTTGCCCATTTCATATTATGTTTATAAAAAATGTGACTTTGATATGGGATGAAAAACAGCCTTGTTTTAAGCAGAGGCAGCTCCTTTTCGTGTCTTAGCATTAGCACTGACTGAATTTGTCCTCCAGTACTTTTGGTTACGGGGTTTTAAATTTGACCTGACTTTTCCTGAATATCAGTGATTTTTTTTTTTCTAATTGTTAATTGCTTAAAGGTAGAGCTGTGATTCTGGATTACCTCTCCCATCTTCCCATTCTTATTTTTATATCCCAACAGCAACTAATAGTGTTTGGTTTAAAACCCCTTTCAAAATTACACAACAAAATCTTTAACTGCATGTGCCATTCTGCCCTGGGGAACAAGCAACACATAATACTTCTACACATAAATGTTCTACTGTAAGTCATTCACCTACTTAATTGGTGTATGGTATAAGTACATCCACAGAATAAATTCTAATGTTATAAAAGCCTAAGTCTGTCTGTCTGTCTGTAATGGTTTATTCACCACCTGCCCCCACCCCCCTGCTTCCTGGAGGTGGTGGCAACAGAGCAGATGGAAGGGTGGGGGTTGCTGGCCTCGCCTGCCCTGAT